AAAAAAAAAAAAATTAAAAAAGACTTTTTAAAGAGTGATGTAAAGGCTTGGCGCTCGTAGCTCAGTGGTTAGGGTACCTGCCACATACAATGAGGCAGGCGGGTTCAAACTCGACCTAGACCTGCTAAGTAATGACAACTACAACAAAAAAATAGCCAAATGTTGTGGCTTGTACCAGCTACTTGGAAGGCTGAGGCAAGAGAATCTCTTCAGAAAAAAAAAAAAAAAAGGCTGTGCCTGTGGCTCAGTGAGTAGGGAGCCGGTCCCATTTACGGATGGTGGCGAGTTCAAACCTGGCCCCAGCCAAATTGCAACAAAAAATAGCCAAGCATTGTGGCAGACGCCTATACTCCCAGCTACTCCGGAGGCTGAGGCAAGAGAATCACCTAAGCCCTAGAGCTGGAGGCTGTTGGAAGCTGTGACACCACAGCACTCTACTGAGGGCAATAAAGTAAGACTCTGTCTCTAAAAAGAAAAAAAAGGCAGCTGGGGAATTGTTCCCCACCACCCTGAAAGGGTACACTCTATGGGATGCAGTCTCTCAGCCAGCAGGCTCTCTTGTTCCTTTGTTTTGTCTGGGAGGAGGGATGTCAGAAGGTAGCAGTGTCACCTGCTGAGAATGAGGGTGTGTCCAAGGGGATTTGGAAAGGGGTCTGACATGCACCTTCTCTGCAGAAGGGTGGCAGGAAGATGGTGCAAGAGTTAGGATGATGGTAGCTATCACACAGTGTGGAAAAAGGGAAGGAAGGGCTATGTTCATTAAGGAACACGCACATAGTGACTGGAGAGAGAAGGTTAGAGGACAAGTACAGAGTCAAACCTTGAGGACACAAGCAAGGAGGTATGGATAGGGCTCACAGGGATGGTCACTAGGGACAGGCAGGCTTTGGCTGCCCCATGAAGGTGAGACACAGGCACATTACTGAATTAGGAGACAAAACTAACATCTCAAGGTTAACCCAGCATAATGCTCAGAGGGAGGGAAGAGATGAGTCACTCTCTGCCTGCTCTGAGGAAATCTTCAGGCCAGAAATGGTAGCTGATGCCTATAATCCCAGGCGCTCTGGGAGGCCAAGTTCAAGACCAGCCTGAGCAAGAGTGAGACTCTCTCTCTAAAAAAATAGAAGGGCATTGTGGCAGACACCTTTACTACCAGTGGCAGATGCCTTTACTACCAGCTACTCAGGAGGCTGAGGCAAGAGGATCCCTTGAGCGCAGGAGTTTGAGGTTGCTGTGAGCTATGACACCACAGCATGCCCCCTCCCCCCACCCCACCCCCCGCGGGCAAGAAAGTGAGACTGTCTCCAAAAAAAAAAAAAAACAAGAGAAATCTTGAATCTCCTCATCAAAGACACAATCATTTGCAATATTTATATAGTTCATTTTATTTTAAGATACTTCGAATTCTCATCATTGTTAGTCTATACTAACAACCTTCCTAATGCTGTGAACCTTTAATACAGTCCAAAGAGGTCGCGACCCACAGGTTGAGAACAGTGGCAAGGGCACAGTCATATGGCTCAAATTTTTTAAAGCAAAAAAGAATTTATGATGAACAATCTCCCAGCCAGCCACTCAGTTTCCTTCTGCTTCTAGTATATCCCTTCAGATTACACTAAATTTATACATATATATATATTTTTTGCCTGTTTATTATAAATTACACCAAACTATGATTTTGTTTTACACCTTGTTTTTCTCACCTCATTATATGCAAGATCTTGCTCACAAAGGCACAAAATTAATCCGTGGTAGGCAACACACTCCCTAACCCCGCCTCCCCCACCTCCCCGGTTCACGTCCTAATCCCTGGAACCTATGAATATGTTACCTTACACACCAAAAGGAAGTTTGCATCGAGAATTAAGGTTACAGGCATAATTATTACTCTGGTGAACCCAACCTAATCACATGAGCTCCTAAGACCCTGAGAAGACTCTCTTAGAGCACCACGTGCAAAGACCTCCACGTGCGCACGGCTGCCCAGACCGGTAGGCGGCAAGGAAACCTCAGCTCAGGAGCAAAGTTTCCAGCTAAAGGCTAGACCTGGTGCTGGAAGACAGACAACTGAACGTCCACCAGCCACTCACGAGTCCCGCTAATCCTTCTGTAAAGCAGGCCCAAACACTCCCCCTCCCCAGAGTCCCCTCTGCACCCAGAGAGTGACTCCACCGGTGGAACCTTCCAGGACACCTGGTACCAAGAGAAAACCCCTTTACTCCCCGGGATCTGAGGGCCTCCGGCGCGGCATCGAATTCCTGGAGCCTCTTCCTCCAACCCAACCCCGAGCGCCGAGAACCGCGCTCAACAGCACGTCCGCCCAGAGTGCCTGTGGCTGCCTCGCCGCGCAATAACTACCCGGGCCGCGGCGTACCGCACCTAGGCCACCAGCTGAGCCTCGACCTCCCGCTCGCGACTCCCACAACCGCCCGCGCCGCCCCGCCCCCGCCCCGTTGAGCTCCGAGAGGCGCCGGATTACCCCCACCACGGAGATGGCTCGAAAACAGCTATACACACGGTCGTAAGCGTAGAGCCTTTACTTAACTCTCTCACCTACTCAAGTAGTCACGCGCTATAGGTAACGCTGTACTGAGGCACCAAAGCGTCTAGACTGTCCGGCCGCTACCACCCGGAAGTCCTGCGTGACTTCCGGCCAGTGGGCCGGGCCGATCTGGGACGTCGTAGCCGCTCTAGGCGGCGGGAAGCCAGGGCAACTCTGTGGTTCAGGTTAAGGCCTGGGGTTTCGAACCGCCAGCCCCGAACACCTCCTTATACAGGTGGTCAGAGCCGACCGGGACACTGGACTGGCGGCAACAAAATAAAGGGGACACAAATGCAGAGAGGACTACATATTATGCTGTGGTGGTAGATTTTAATACACGGGTCCTCAGAATCAACAGATTGTAGCTTTATAAAAGTAAGAACGCCCTGGGAAGTACAATCAGTAAACAATCAACAGATAAGTGGAAAAATCCTTATTCCTTCAGCAGTGTTAGATGCCTAAACCCTTCCTCCGCCTCCTCTCACAGAGCAAATGGCCTACCTGGCCCCACCCCAAGAGTTCCGTGGGAAAGACCCTAGCATGCCTCTGTTATACCCGAAAATTATTCTCCCAGACAGCCCCAACAGACAAATCCGAGACACACTCCGATGTAAAAGGCATCAGGTGAGGTTTTATTCAAACCCGGGCTTGGACTCTCCTAGTGTACACACCAAGGAAGAGCCTTGAACCCCGAGTGGGGCAAGTTTTTATGGGGTAAAAAAGCAAGAGGGGTAGGGTCCAGTACGAGTACACTTTTGATTGGTGGTTGGTGATTTCATTAGTAATGGAGGATTTGCATTGGTAGCTGATGATTTCACTAGTAAAGGTGAATTTGGATTGGTACAGGTGAGGGGTGGAGGGTCCCTTAACCAGGGGCTAGAGTTGGTGCAGCCTGATTACCTGTATTTCAAGGTAATAGAAACTTATTGTTTATTATAGCAGCTGTTTG